TTTATTAACATCGACCGAGAACAATTGAAAATTGAGAAATGCCTCATTGAGTTTTATTCTATCTACCGTGAAAATGTAAATAAGATATCATTCCTTCAAATTAAAGCTCAGCATAACTCGCGTAAATAAAGTTGCCATATATATACTATTACCATTTTGTTCAACTTTACATATATCGTCATACTGAATAAGCAGTTTTTATATGTTTTTATTATTCATCAATTTATTGCTTGCCTTTTTGGGTCTTCTTTTCTCAGAGAAGATGAAGCTTTCATGAAATATAGCAGTTGAGATGTCCGTGTATTATGTTTCGTTGAAGTACAATTAATTTGCTTGATAATTTTTGGAGTTACAATTCGTTTTTTGTCTTTATCGTGAAATATATTGAAACATTCAATAATTTGTGATATAGACAACTTCATCTCAACTTCATTTTTCTTTGATACAGATCATCACTGACTGTCGAGAGTGAGAGAATATATGTAGTGGAACGAAATGGAAATCGAAATTGAAAGCGCTATTTGTAATTAACATTTAGATGTTAATGAGTTTTAATTCCTAAGATAACAACGTTTATCAGAACGATAATAATAAGAACTCCCTATGCATTTAAATAGGTTACATCACATATGAAGATTACGAAATATTTTTATTACTTCCATATGTTTCGACTTATGATCCTATGTCATCTTCAGTAAACTGGAGTAACTCTAACTATCTTCAATCACCTATTCACAATTGTACAACCAACTGGTTGTTGTTAAGTAAATAATATAGATTGAATATTGAAAAGCAAGTTATGAGTATGACATGGTTGAATCACTGCCCATCCGAGACGAATCATTCGTCTGTAACCTATGAAAATAATTAAAATTCTTTTAAACATCTCTATTTTTTTGACGTATTGCCTTAAAGAATTAATTCACATATTTTAATAGCAAGTTATAAAAAATCTATGTGTATCATAACCACTTTTTTTAGTATAATTCTGAATTTGGTGTTGACATATGTATTGACAGAGTTTAATAATCGGGCATATCATCAATAAACGCCGTGAATTTCTTTGAAAATGTATTCTAAAATTCAAACGTTCCGGCTATAGTCCCAGCCTTCATTCATTAAAGCCCGAATCACACGAGGCTTGTTTTGCTGCTTTATGGCTCTGCTTGCCAGGTACCTGGCTGTAGAGGGTCCAAAATGACGTCATAGCGATCTCTGTTTCTTGCCAGCATGCTGGATTTCAACATTAGAACGTGTGCTATTTTTCGAGATGGATTTGCCCGTCCGGACCAATCGGGAAGCAGTAGTTTGTCACATGGATCATCACATGACGGCACTGCTGTCAAACTTGAAGAAAAAGTGCGACATATTTTGGAAATAGTTATGAAATCAATACCGATTGATCGGTCTCGGGCAAAAACATAGTTTTTTTCAAATTTTATTTTTTTATATAATTTAAAATAATATAAACGTAAATGATAATCAAAAACATTTTCTATTACATTTAAGTATAAACATTTTATTTTGTTTATTTATATATAGAAACATTTTGATTTTAATTTATTTTAATTATTCCATTTATTGGAGAAATATTATTGAATATATATTTATAAAATTCACAAAAAAAATATTTAAAATTAAAATATATATTTATAAATTTTACTAAAACAATAATTAAATTTTTACAATATTATTTATTATTTGTATTCATTATAATAAAAATGATTTTATTTTTAATAATAATATTTCAATAAATAATTTTAATTCAGATTTATGAAAATTTAAATAAATTATATATAGCTTTCCAATTTTATTTAATTATTATATAAATTATCTCTTCGCTATATTACTGTTATTGAATTGTTTTTATTAAAACTAATATTATTTTCTATGCCCCGTATTAAACAGAAAAGGTAAAATAAAAGTATTGTTGTTAATGATTTGCGTTGAATTTCGAGGTTATGTCGCACGCTACCGATTCATTCACTCACCAACGCTCAAAAACAAGCCTCGTGTGATGCGTACGGCTTGAAAAATATCATGATTTACAGCACCGTCATCGGCGAAAAAATCAAGCGGGAAATCCAGCGTCAGAAAACAAGCCTCGTGTGATTCGGGCTTAACTTCCCGTAGGGTAAGTTATAGTAATCGCAAAAAAATCGAAAATGAAAATTTTTGCATTTCTCGACGTTTCAAAGGTTTCTGAATATTTTGGCATACCTTAGAAAAAATGGATGTATGTGTGTGTGTGTGTGTGTGTGTGTGTGTGTGTGTGTGTGCGTGTGTGTATGTATGTGCGGATACAAATTTTCGTCGACGATTTCGGGAACACCGATCAACCGATTTGATTAATTCAAAAAACATTCGATTCGTATTGATAAGGAGACGTGCTGATTAGTTTTTGGCGAAGTCAGGTCTAGCCGTTCCGAAGATACGGGGCAAAAAGTGCCGAAAACGGTAACTCAGTTTTTAAGAGAACGGAGCGTCCGATTTTAATAATTCAAAAAACGTTTTACTTGTATTGACAAGGTGAAATACCGATCAAATTTTCATAAAGGCGGGTCTAGCGGTTTCGGAATCTAATGAAAAAAGTAAAAAAAAATGCCATTTGGCGGTCAAAAATGATCATTAGACATATGCACATCAAATTATCAGATATTTTATAGAGATTTTAACAATAAGTATAATTTTGGTTTACATTCCTATGGGTTCCGTACCAATGTTTACGCGTTAGACGTCGACGCGGAGCTTACGCGGTTTGATATTTCGTCTTTATGCAGTTAAAGCAGTACGATTGCTTTGAAAAAAAGTTTAGATCTTTCAAAATATGTCAAAATAAAGAAAAAATTTTTTTTTCAAAAAAAAAATTAAAAAAAAAAATTAAAAAAATTTTTTTTTTCAAAAAAAAGTAATTTTTTGTCTAATTGTTTGTCAAAAATCTTATTTTTTTTAAGTAATTTTTTTCAAAAATGCTAATCGTTTTTAAAAAAATAATTTTTGGTACGGGAAGTTCCAGCAATTTGCCTTAGGGCACGATGCCTTAATTGCCTTAAGACAGAATTCCACTCACAGCTAGTTGGGACTAAAATGAAATGTTTAATTTGTTAATTCGTCAGATCAAGACCCTGATGCGCGCAACGAACGAGAGCAACCGCCTCGCCTTCGATTCGTGCAAGTGGAACTTCCTGAGCGGCAACTGCGAGGGCGACTATGGCATCTGCATTCGGCGCGAGGACCAAATCTCGGGACGGGTCACCTGCCACTGGCGACGAAATTCCTTCTATAAAAAGTGCAAGGCTCTTCAGAGCTATCCAGATCCGTGAACTACGTCTATCGAACGATAAATGATCAACTGGTAATTATAAATACTTCTTCATCGTGGGCAAGCAAAATATATTATTGAAAATCGAACCGGGGCTCAGTTGGAAGGTCTTTAGTTAAAGAGCCTTTATCGCAACAAAATTATTGGCGTATGTCGGTGGATTAAAATAAATTGTTTGCGTCAACATTTTATTCTTAAATCACATTTTATGTAAAATTCTGTAAAATTATGTAAAAAAAGTAAACCCTTTTATTTAAAATTTTTAATTACTCGTTACACGTTGAGTTTATTTTACGGACAATTACGGACTCGGATTGATCCAAATGTAAAACCAGTTCATAGCTTTAAATTAAGTTATTTTTGGTTGCAACCATTCCCAAAAAATGAGGGTAATTACTTTAATTTTATTAAAATAAATTAAGTAATATATTAAATTTATTACAATAAGATTATAATTTATTTATATTTATATATGTTGGTGCGTGTGTAAATATATACATATATAATTATATATACATATATAATTATAATATATATATGTGTGTGTGTATGTATGTGTGTGCGTAGTTTTCGAAACTGAACAATCGTTTCACATATGTTATAATTGATAAGTGCAAATTTGAAATACGAGAGTTCATTCTATGAGCATTCGTTTAAAATTTATTTTACAGACCTAAAAATGGCACAAAACGTGATTTCATTGTTATTATTATTATTTTAAATCTAGTATAAAGTTAAAATGTATGAGGCCAACAATTTCGTTTAATACAAAAAACTACATGATGAATTAATTATTTTAGAAATGTTTTAATTAGTCTTTTGAATATCTCTTTAATCACCCATAGATAATATTTTTTTTAATTTATAGGCTTAATAAGCAACGTATGCAAATTATGAACATCTTTATTTATTTTAGAACCTTATATGGTTATTATAAAATAGTCTCTTTCCTATCATAATTTTCGTTTTATTAATCGCGGAAGTACGCCCTATTTTTCGTGTATGTTTAATTTTTTTAGAATATTTATATGGTTATATATTTATATATTTATATATTTATAAATTTATATATTTATATATTTATATGTATATGTAATTTTGTTATGGGATAAATGACCTTACCAAGAACCAAAGTGCTATCGCAGGAGTTTAATTTCTTGGAAATTAGCATAAGTTGCTTATTTTATATTAGCGTATGTACGATTCAGCGTTGAAACGTAATTTAATCTAAATTTCATAAAATGTAGTTGACTTTCATTGAAAGGTTTTTCAGACTATAAAATTATATCATTATATATTGTGAGAATATCCTAATATATAAAAAATAATATTGATTTATAATAATATTAATTCAAAGAAAATAATAATATTGTTGTTAGAAAATTGTTTATAGCTACTAATGATGGTATAATATGTTGAAACGAATAGAAAAATAAATTTTCTATAAAATCATTTCCTATTTTACTTGATGCTATTTATGACTTCTAAGAGTTTATTGATATACTGGATTTTTATTTAAATATAACTTTTATATAATTACATCAGTGATCATTTCGTTATTTTGAAGTCTCAATTTTAAAACTTGAATTGTGACTTGAACTAGCGAAAAAATATTCTTTTAGTGATTGATCGGCACGTGATTAGACTTCATCTATTAATAGTATATTGTGTTACACTTATTGCTTTTGTTAATTATTTTATATTATTAATTTAAGGTTAATTCTAATTATTGAACTATTCTAAAAGTACAAATATAAATTATATTGAAATTACAAGATGTGGTATAGCTTAAGTTAGAAAATGCTTAAATGTTATTATATATTTGATCCATATAATAAAATATATTTATGATAAATTCTGGTAGAATATCATTTTGTAGCATTATTAATATTAATGGCTCGCCCGTAAGTAAGCGGTTAAGAGCTACGGGACTTGTTTCAGAGGTCCCGGGTTCGATAGCCACTTTGAGCAGCCTGTTGTCAGGCAACATTGACAACGATTTTCACTTGAAAATATAGATAGCAATATGTTTCCAAGTGAAAATAGCCCTCACCCGGCATTGCTGTACCATAGTCGCCCTATTACAGAAATTGTAATAATAATTTATCATACAGAGATGTGACAACTGTTTGGGTTGCCATCTGTCAAACAGTCTAGTATTAAGTCAAATCAGCAAAACAGCTTATAGGTTCAAAAATAATAATAAAAAAAAAAAAAAAAATTAATGTCGTTAATATTAATGCAATTAAAAAAAATATAGCATATATTTGCAGACAAATACGTATTGATTGCATTTTCGGGCAAATGACGTTGTTGCATGCTGTATGGATTGTGACCAATATTTTTATATATACACACATATATATATACGAGGTGTGTTCAAAAAGTACCCGGAATTACTAATAATTAAATTTCGCGGGTCTGGTGTGTCTGATTGTCAAAATTTTTTTTTTATTGTGTTGGTATACATGCCCCTAAAGTATGATGAAATTTTCAGCTATATTCACTGTTTACTTTGTCTGTGGTAGTCGCTAAGGTTCGACGTGTTTTTCTAGCTCGGCGATTTTTACAATGGAAGAATTGAAAAGTCAAAGAATTTGTATTAAATTTTGCGTAAAAAATGAAATAAAGTGTTGCAAAGTGCAAAAATTCACCAGATATGGCTCCGTGTGACTTTTTCCTATTCCCAAAGTTGAAGAGACCCATGAAAGGACGGCGGTTTTCCTCGATTGAAGAAAAATCGCTGAGAGTGCTCAAGGACATATCAAAAAGTGAATATCAAGGGTGCTTTGAAAATTGGAAAAAACGCTGGCATAAGTGTATTATATCTGGAGGGGACTACTTTGAAGGGGACCACATTAATGTAGACGAATAAATAAATATTTTTTTGAAAAAACGAAAATTCCGGGTACTTTTTGAACAGACCTCGTATATATATATATATATATATATATGTGCAGTATAATATCGACTCACCATTTCGCGATGATTTGGGTAATAAGTTTGCTCGATCAGGGGAAAATTTTCACGTCCGAGGCGTCTTTGGAGTTGCATCAGGTGCGCGAAAACCCACGGCCGGTCCTGAAAATTAAATTTGGAACTGATATATTTTCATTCAAATAGTTTGACTTTAAGGAAAAATTCATACAACTGCATTTCAAATATTTACTTTTATAATTTATGATATTTAATGGAATATATTTATCGTAGAAGATTAATTTATCATTTAAATTAAATTATTATTAAGTTTTATTTCAGATGAAAGAAATTGGAAATTGGTTATTAAAGTTTAAATGTCATAGTTTTGCAATTATGAACAAGTAAATAATCATTGCCTTATGTTTATCCCTTCAGTTCCAGAATCATTGAAGAATTATTTACAAAGCTGATTAACGACAATGTGAAACTATAATTTTGTGAGCGTTTCTTCAAAACAGTGACGTCTACTAATATTATTAATTTGTTAAAATGATGGATGTCATTTTCTCTTGGTCCCAACTAACCTGGAAGTTGTAGATGGAAGATAGCGAGTTGACGCTCGGAACGCCGCCGTATTTCAGACCGAGAAGAAGGCTGCGATTGTCCTCGGAGGCGTCGCGAAGATTTTGACGAATTAGAACGAAATCCGGCCTAAATGAACGCATCACCTTGGTACCGCTCCGATACACCGCCATCGAGACAGTGCATCCTTGCTCGCCGCTCGCGATCAACGAGAGTTCCTGGAATAAATAGTAAGGAAACATTTTATAATCATATTTGTATTAAGAGATGTAAACTCAACTATAAATTTTGATTTAAGGCTAGCTTCTTGAACTTTCTGATATATTCACTTCTTGTTCCATATCGCTTGTTGTGACGTCGCAAAAATTACAAGCCATTATTGAGTAAATTTAAACTGTTGAATGAAAAATATGTTTTCACGCCCAAACATACACTCACACACATTTTTACTCTTGTTTTTTGCTACACGAAGAAAACATAAAATTAACAACTCGAATTTCTAGCCAAACTCTGTGACAAACGGATTTTCTTTATTTTTTATTTTATTATATATAGTTATATATAAATGGATTTATATATAGTTACTAAATATATTTATATTTTATTTTCACCTTGAATTCTGCTTGCTCCACTCGAATATCATAATCATTATGTAGTTTTTTTCCACGGAAATACTTTGACCAATCCGTGTTCTGATCATCGATAACTAGTAAAGTAAAGGATCGATCTTTATTGAATGATGGTCTAGTTGCACTCTGAACAGCTGCGCCTGTAATAATTGAAATTAATTGCACGTCATTGAAATTGGCTCAAAAATGCAATTTCGCCGATTGTTGTATTAAATATTACCTAAGATGGATGCACCTTGGTCTCGTGCCGCTCCTGTTAAACTTTGTACGCGTTGCAGCAGACTCTCACGACTCTTCGCCGGGCTACTTGGCGCGCTGGTGCCTCGTGGGGGACCTCTTAAGTTCAGAGACAATTCTCCGCCGCTTTGCTGGGCTATTATTTATAATAATATTCGTATTATTATAGCGTTTATTATAATATTATGGTAAATAGATGCTAGAATATTCTTGAAAATGTAAAGAAAATTTTGATATTAAATTTTGAATAAATTGTAAGCTATATTAGATAGTTATTGATGTTGTATAGTTATAAAATCATTTTATTATATTGTTGTTGCTTATTGTAATCATCGAACAGTGTTCAAACGAAGATCGAACAGAAATTACTCATTTTAAACCATGAATACAGATGCGATCATTATTGATGCTCGAACGATTTTGTGTGCTCGACCTGACCTTGGGCCGTGTTGGGATTCGGCGGTTGCGATGGCATCGGCTGGCTCTGCAGCGGAGGCGCCTGCTGACCCATCTTGGGTACGGGTTGGGCTCCGGGCGGAATCGGCTGTCCTGTGTAAGGGTCTACGACGGCATCGCCGTCGTCGCACTCTGAGGATAAATCCCCAGAGCTGAAGCTACAAAAATGAGTTGAGAAATATGTATATATAGTAATAAATACTAAAACTCAAATTGTCAGTATAAACTAATTTATAATAATTGTTTTTGAGTTAAATAACTGACAATAGATGATAAATATAGTTGATATCAACAAAATAATCATTTGTAAATATTTTAAAATATGATTTTATAGACACTTTTAGAATTCTTACCGCCTTTTCAAGTAATTGACATTATTGGTGAATGAGTTGCGGAAGCTTGAGAATGACAGCGCTGGGCCGGGCGGCTCCGCTGGTTGACAGATGCGACCGCACCCGCTTCGGGAAATATTGAGGCCGGAATAGGCGATTGCAGGAAGACTTTCTGTCACTAGTCGAGAGCGGTTACCTTTGGTTACCAATATCCGTTAATTAAGTCGAATCGTAGACCTTAACAGGCTTGACGCAATTATTTCGCGAAGATGCAGGCAGTCAAATTCAATCGGGAGACAGTAAGAATTTACAGGATAATTGCAGCTAGTAACTGAAAATTAGAAGATGATTGAAATATTATTGATAATGTTTTTTTCCTTTCTACATCGTTCCATTCTTGATGTGTTTCTATGTACTTAAACTTTATATATTTACTTCTTTAAAATTCTTCTAGCAGCATAGATTTTTACAAACTACATATAGTAATGCTTATATAAACAGCACAATTCTTTTGAATGCACGCGAGTTGCGAGTGTACTGGTTTTGTACATACTATAAAAAATCATTATTTTTTTCATTAAAATCACATTTCGTAAATTTTCATAGTGGCTTCGCCTTAGAATATTTTAACTTTTGTCCTTTGACCTCTACCGGAATAATTTTGTTGAATGCTTTCTCGTAAGCACGCACACAACTCGAATGAATAATATTCAGAACATTGAGAGCAATCTGAATTGGAATCTTTACCAGATATCGATCGGCCAAGGCAATGTGTTTACAGATCATATTATTGAAGGTACTGTTATTTTAGGAAATTGATTTTCCAGGATCGGAATTTTTTGTGGAAGAGGTTTCGAGAAAGTCTTTTTGCAGCTTAACGACTTTAAAATGCTTAGTCGACACTATATGCATATGGAAAAACTATTAAGTACTGATTGCTATTAATAATATAGGCAATATAGTGAACATGGTTATTCTATTTATGAATGTAATATATAATTGTGTATATGTATATATAGTAAGAATGGAGGTTTAGTTGCTGCGATGTGTAAAGGCAACAGTGAATACTACAACATTATTTGATACATTTATTCAAAGTAGATACGAGAATATTCTACAAGAAATTGAATAAAATGATATCTTTGAAATAAAATATTTTGTAATAATGTTCTATCTAAAATATTCCGTAGCTAAAAATACTTTCTTTGGAGGCCATGTAGACATCGAAAGTAGCGAGTAGAATGGGAAGAACATATTGATAGAAAACTCAAAAGGAGAAATAGACAACTGTGAAGTGGACGTAGCGAGATTGAGCCAGTTTAGATGGCAGAAACAGGATGAAATCACATCGACCAGTTAACTGGCCGCAGAAACAATCTCATGATCACAAACATGTAGTTCGAGAAGTCGAAGAAAACGATGTAAACGTGGAAGGACATTTAGCCTTTTGCAGGGGCTGCTATCAACTCTGATAGAGTAATTATAATTTGAAAGCAGAGATGGAATCTGGAGAACTTGAGAAGTAATGAATTTGAAAGGCGAGAGAGTTAGAGATGAAAGATAATCAAAAGATTATGAAAAATGATTAGACAAAATATATTTCTCAAATTTATGTAATATAACATCGACAAGTTATTGGAATTTACATCTACTTATAATAAATTATTCACATTTCATGCAATTGCCTTGGTGCATATTGGTCCAATATATTAATTTTCAATTGTTTTAAATTTATTCACCTAATTTTCTAAATTGATGTAAGTTGTGACGATGCGTGGTACATATATCATATTTTGCAAAATATTATATAAAAATATACGGAACTCTATCTTTAGAATTTTTTAATCAGAACAAAATTAAAATTCATCGAAATTCAAGAATTTAAAGATGTGATATCTATAATTCTTGTATGTATAAGTATTAACTTATATTTTTCAAATTTTCTGTATTTTTTTTTCAAGAAAAATCGTAACAGACTGACTAATAATTAATAATTCAAAATATTTTGTATAATTCAAAATTTAAAGAGCAAGACATTAAAATTAAATTAAATTTATTTTATGTTTATAGTTATTTATATAACTTGATTTTCATATTTAACGTTTATTAGGAATGTTAGAGTACCCAAAATTTAGAAACCGTTTTAATTAATTCAAAACTAGAAATATTTCTTTAAGTGAGATACCACGCTTAGGTATAACCAAGTTTATTATAAAGATATATCATTTGGAAATGTGTTCATTATCTTTAGCAAAGAAAGCTCACATTGCAATATGTAGTTAAGTCACACAAAATGTTACAATTAAAAAAGTTACAAAATTCTTGTTGATTCTACTCGACTATTTTTAAAGTTTTAGGCATCTCCAAATTATGAGTATTAAGTTAATTGCAATAACTTTCTTAATTCATTTATAGTGAAAATTTTATTTCAAAATGCCTGACTACGCATGATTGCGACCATTAAATCGTTTTAATTGTTAGTAATAATCCAGGGCGTAGGCATCTATGGGATTGTAAAGTTTTGTTTAAAGCAAAGCGTATTCAACAAAAATAATATTTAAGAAAACTGTTGTTGCTTAAAAACGTTATAATTGAGTTCATAAATTGCCTTCTTGCCGGTTGCAAATATTAAAGAAATTAAAAAAAATACAAAATAAACAGTAATATTTAAATGAATATATTTAAATTACCTGTAGAACAACTAAATATATGGCGATTTTTGTTTTCTCTTTCTATTCATAATTTATCCATGTGCATGTTGATCAATGGTTACGTAACGCTCTAAAGTATAGAATTTTAACGCCTTAAAACGTTGGAAAATATAAATAAAAAATTGTTATTACTTATTTTTTTGTAATAGTTTAATTATGAACATTTAATAATAATCATAATTGTTAAATAATTACGGAATTATACTTTACAATAACGTTAAAAAAAAGAATGTTACATGAATAGTTTAGTACTTTTGTAAAATAATTATTGATAATTCTATTAATTAAATATAATTAATTCGTATTGGTATTTTTAAAAATATAGAATCTTATAATAATCGAATTATTTATATTCTACATGCAGTTTCTAAATATGCATAAAAAATGTACTACAATCGATTTGAAAAAAAAGCCAGATTTTATCACGTTATTGTTACTGTAGAGTAAATTATCAATACCTGTTAAACAAAAAAAGCTTCCATAACTGTTGCGCCAAGTTTCTATGAAAACATACCTTATTTAAATTTCACAAGAAGCTTATCGACATCAGTTGCACTAAAGAAACAGTATAATTGCACAAATAACATACCGCACTTTCGTCACATTCAGGAATCAATAGCACAGCAATGAATGAAACTTTAATATTTTAGCAAGTAGTATATTTCGTTTGTTTTACAATTGTATTTGCACTATAACCCTGTGTGAATTTGTTGCGTATTGTGGAAATTTCGGTGCGTATGAAATAAATGCGTAAGTTAGTATGTTGATTTGAATACTTACTGGAAATACAACGCCCGTCGTCCGATACAAATGATGGAAGTACAATGCCTGTGCTACGACTGACCTACTGGTTGGTGTTGGAGTTCGCGTAGATGCTCAGGGGGTGCTACGCTATGGCTACGCTACGTGTGGAGCGCGTGCGAACCGACAGCACAGTAGAGCACAGTACAGCACAGCACTCGCGCCACGCTGATCGATCGATACGATTATCGCACTAGTGCACACTTTCACCGATGTCGGCCGTTGCTCCAACTTGTAACTTATACATTTCAGTATTTCAGTTACGGTAGAGTATGACCGATGCGAAAATTTTGATTATATACCAACAACGGTTCGGATATATCATCAATTTAAAAGCTACGATGCGGTATTGCAATATATTTGATAGTAAAGTATAATATAGAAATGATTAGTTAGCATCAATACGGCGTCTACTTCCTTTTAATGGTAATTAAATGTAATGAGTCCATTAAGAAATGATCGATAGGTTCCGTTTCGGATAAAGGTGGCTAACCGGCGTGGTGTGCCGCATGTCGCGCGTAGTCGCACGGCGGCACTTTCCCGGCGCCTGCGTTGCTACACTTACTCTATTGATCGACTTTATTCAACTCTATAGTAAATCAATGATGCAATTGCAGACATTCGCCACCAGATTTTCGGTACGAATGTATGAATGTATGAATGTTCTTTTTCGAAATCGTCATTGCAGATACATTGTTCACCTTTGAGCCCTTACTAGAATGATGTTGAATTTGTCATTCACAGTCCACACTTGTAGTAAATAACTACAATCATGAAGGGACTTGTCCTCTCCTGGATAGAAGTTCAATAAAATAAAACCTATAAACCAAAGGTTTATTTTATTTTTATTTGAACAGTAATCAAAACTTAAGTGGACTATGTTATTACTTTGTTATATTTCTATGACGAATTTTATTATAACAATTTTTGTAATAGTGATGATTTTTTTTATTGATGCGGCAATGCCGGATAAGAGCTATTTTACTTGGAAACATATTGCTGTGTCGGTTTCCAAGTGAAAACCGATGTAAGTACTGCTTGACATCAGGCTTTCTGAAGTGGGTATCGCACCTGGGACCTCTGATTCAAATTTCATAGCTCTAATCACTAATCTACGAGCGACCCCAAACCAAACTTTGATTTCAAAAATCACCTAATCACACTAATTGTACAGATATTAAACATAAAACTGAAACTATAGAACTATATCG